AATTCTCCCAGGGAGCCAAGCTTTGAAGAATGGGATAGCTTATGTGATTTGGGCAAACAGCAGCTGAACATCACACTTTGAAGTCCCAGATTCCAATTGAAGGCAAGCTAGCAACTGATTTTTAGCTTCACCTATAGCCTCAGCACTTCATCTGGAGCCTTACCCCAGCATAACAAGGCTACAGACAGCTTTGTTTGGCAGCTCCAGCAGAGATATCCAAAGCTGCATCATTTTTACCCTTGTAGCAGGTCATACTCTGAATAGGTGTGGGCTATGGAAAAAGCCTGTAATAGCAAGCTCATTCTTTGAATACAAGTAAGCGTTCAGTCTCTGGTCTGAATCTATTACCCTGAAACAGCAACGAAATCACTCAAAACCTGTTAATGTAGAGTGTTGTATCACTCAGCCCTCAAGCCATGCTGAGTCTTGATCTCCACATGAGATGCAGGTCTCAGAGCAACTGTATCTGTTTAAATGCAACCCAACAAAGTCTGGTGACAAAGCCAGAATAGACAAACACTATCTGTGTTCATGGAAGGAAAAATATATTGTTTGTTGAGATGCACATACCTGAATAGATGCCTATTAATACAAGGTGGGACAGAAGCATTTCACAAAGCTAGGTAACTCTATCATAAACCACTAAACTTTCATCTGCAGGTCTCCTGCTGAGTGACAAGAATATCATCAAACTGGCATCTGTGTCAATTTTTAAAGCCTCCTGCAGAGTTCCTTGGCAAACACTGGTTTTCTTCCTCCTCCAAGCTTCCACTGAACTGAAACTAAAGCCTTCTTTGTTCTGCTATTCCATTAGCATGTCTCTGTCCATCCTGAAAAAGTCAATTATTATAAAGCCTAAAGGAAAAGTTCATGTTGGCGAGCAAGAGGTCACAAGCACTTCCATGGCAATGAAGTGGAGTTTTTAAGTATTTACTGATTTTCAAACAGGTATTAAAATGTACATCTCTCTATTACTAGATGCCAAAAAATACCCGTGACTTGGACTTTAAATTGCTGAGCAGTGTCCTCCTCACAATGTGACTTAGGACAAAGAGAGAGTTATGATAAAACCAAAATAAACAAACCTCAACAACAAAAAAACACACCAAAACCCAACCAACCAAAAAACCTAAAACCAAAGCAATGGACAGAAATATTCAGCCTAAAGAAAAACGAAGGCAGTAGGAGGTGGTAAACACAACACTGAGCTGTGTGTTCCTTGGATCCAGGAATACTAACTCCCATTACAAAAGGTGTAACCTCATCCCACAAACAGCTCTTTGGTATCTCCAGAGAAGCACAACAAGAAAAAAAACAGAACCCATGAGACTAGCAGGCTGAAATGGCCCCAGGATGTGGTTTTCCACTTGCACTGCCACATGCAGTTGGCTGGTCCTACTGAGTGCGAAGGCAAACTGTATTTACCACTTTCACCATCACTTTAGCAGACAACCACTTCAACCATCTTTCCCTGTATGAATGTTTCCTTGGAGACAACCACCCCATCACTCACGGCTGTTCACCAAGCAGAGGAGAGTCCAGAGGGTAGCTTACAGCCCACACTACCAAGAGCCTGGGAAGAGCTGCCAAATGAACTCTCAGGTTCTTTGATGAGTCTTGAAATAAAAGGCGAATGTGGAAGACTTAAAAATATGCTAGTGTTATACCAGTATTTTAAAAGGTTGAGCTAGGATGAGACATGTCAGTCTTGTCAGCCTGACATTGATTCCAGACAAAATAATGAAAAAGCTGATATAAGACTCTGTTAATACAGGATTAAAGGAGGACAGTGTAATTACTGCCAATCAACATCGACTTTACAGGAAAATATAACTTGTCAAACTACCAACACTTTTTGGTGTGATTACAAGTTTGAATGCTAAAGGTAACAATGTTGATGTAATATATTTTCACATGGTGTTTTACTGGGTGCCAGAAAGCACAGTGATGCAGCGTATCATACCAGCTGATAGGACTAAACTGCACCAGTAGATAAGGAGTCAGGCGGGAAGGCGATACTGGGACTCATTGTTGTTCCAGTGCTACATGCAAATCAGGCTGCTGGCATGGAGATATCTCTGTCTGTCATGTTGACTAGTATTGCTTCGTTCTCACCCTGAACTCCCACCTACTCTACCCATCTGTTGCCACCTTTCCTATACATCGCATGGAAGTGCCTTGGCGCAGGGACGGCCACCAGCCCCTGACTAGTACAAAGGGATCTCTAATCATGACCTAAGCCCTGCCTGGCACGTCAAAGTCATTCTGCCAAACCTACTGTGTTGCTGTACTAACCCTCTGCTTAGATAACCTGTAATTTTTAGTGGTTCATTAAATCAGACTGCTCGAAAAACATATTCACAAGGCAGTCTTCGCCAGCATGGAGCTACTGTCTGTAACACTTCCGTGAGAACGATACTTGAACAACAGAAAGCTGTTCCTATAAAGCAGAGAGATGGAAGTAAACATGGACAGAACCTGACAGCATGAGCTTTGACATTAAGAAATTTAGTCAGCACACCAAAGTTATTCACACACCCATAAGATCTCCGTCTGTTGCTTTGATTTCCTCTCCGCATACAGGAGCAAGTGTGGCAGGAGCATAAGGGGAATAGGGTGTATTTTCCCAAACAACAGCTCTCACTCATCCTTGTCCACAGAAGCCTTTGTCCATTTTTAGAAAGCTGTCAGGTTAGGAATACGGGGGGAGGGGGGGTGTTTGGCATCTTTTCTCAAATGTTGTAGAGGTTGCGTAAGAAATACATTTGGCATTTATGCCTTTAAGCATAATTCAGAAATGACAGTCTGGATACACAGTAGGATGAAGCAATTTAAGGCACTCAAGCTTAGATTAGCCTATGTTAATAGGGAAGATAGAGGATTCATTTTTTCCTTCAACCAAGGCTGGCAACCTCACCCATAACTACCAGACCAGGTAGTTTTGAGCTTGAGCAGAGGTTTTTTCACTATGATAGTGAAGAAAGAATCACCACAAGCTCTGCTGGCACAGGCTAACTAAAAAGGAAAGTATACTGTGACAATGCTGCTGACCAACATAATGAAATTCTCTGACCATTCCATAATTGCAACCTCATTTTCTGGTTTTCATCTTTCATGCCTCACCTAATCCAACCTCAACTCCCCTGGCGTCTGCAACACATTAACATAGAATTCATAGAATCAACCAGGTTGGAAAAGACCTTTAAGATCGTGAAGTCTAAATGTTTTTCAGCACACATGTAAAAAACACTTTGAAAGCTGAAAGCTTAGTACAGCCTAAAAGAAACAGGATATTAAAGCAACGTATCACAAGCAGCTGCTGCATTATGAGAATTTTATATTTAAGTTAATAAAACCCTTTACTGTGAATTATCAGCCATTTCAGGTTTCTCAACACTGTAGGAGCCAACAAAACTTGCCTGAAGTAGGCTCGGCACAGCACCATACAGAAAAGATAGCTCTTGTTTTTTGGAAGTCCCATGACTACAATTTCTGCCTTCTTTTTGCTCATCTTGGCATACACACAACAAACAAGCACATGCATTTTGTGGCTCAAACTCCCTAAGATGTGCAAGGAGGAGAAGCCAGGTTGTTTCCCAGCCACTAAGGAACAGGCAAACTGAGAGAAGGGCTGGAGGAGGGCTTAAAGCAGGTGTCTCCAGCAAAGCAGGGCCACACTAGAGCTCTGCAGTGTTGCCTGGCAGCAAGTAATTATCTGCCAGTGTGCTGTTTCCACGTGCCAACAGCCAAAGCCCACACAGGCAGTAAGCACGGGGAAGTATGTGCGTCAGCTAAAGCTACAGCCTAGCTCCACTCTTCCTGAAGGGAAAAAAGCAGAGATGGTTTGGAGGCTAGCCTTGCAACAGCAAGGTCTATGAACCACACACTCAAACCAAGATGTCCAGGGAGACAGAAGTCCAAGAGATGCTAGAAATCATAGGATCATAGAATGGTTTGGGTTGGAAGAGATCTTAAAGAACACCTGGTTCCAAACCCCTGCCATGAGCAGGGACACCTTCCACTAGACCAGGTTACTCAAGGTCCGATCCAACAAAAACAAGACCACTGCCATACTAAATGAGCCATGCAAAACCAACAACAGTTCCATCCCAAAATGGCTGGGAAAACTCCAGTGAAGACTCTGAAGAACAGGTTAGACAACCCTTGTCCAAAATGATTTAGGCATAGTTGGTCATGCCTTAGGGTAAGGAAAGGATCATGCAGCCCCTCAAGAAACACAGCATTCCTTTCAGTGGTGCTCCTGGGATTAATCTACAGGAAGGAAGAGAACCACATCCCAATCTACCTGTCAATCCATCATCCCTCGTTCTCCCACAGGCTCCAGGGTGACTCCCCGCACTGGGGTTAATTACAGAGCAACTGAGACCCAGACAAAAAAAACCCACCCTCAAGATCTGTGTCATCTCCAACCTTCTCACTCATGAATTGCCACAGTGCCATACTCCTCTGCTTCCCCCACCTCCCTTCCCACCTCCGCCTGCACTTTCAGGCTCCCAAGTGCCTGTGTGCTGTATGTGGTGGCAGCTGAGGTTTTTAATATGCACTTATTAAGATCCTAATCGAATCCCGCATTGCCTTGTGTGCATCTTGCCAGCCGGAACACGAACAAGGCACCCTATAATTCAATTAGAAGGACCTGCAGCAAGCTGATCATTAGTCTGTCAGCTTGTTAAGAAAAAGACATCTATGGATAGGGGAGAAAGTTAAACAAAGGCAGAACTGTTAACAGCACCCCTCCCCAGTTCATGCAGAAATTCCCATACACCTAACATGTACTTGAAGTGTGGCATCTGTAGTGCCCAACAACTTCAATGACATCTTACCACATTGCTCCAACAGCCCTTTCTCTTGTTTCAGGCAACATAAATAGTACCTCAAAAGTTGGAATTAGACTTTTCCTCATTAATCTTCCTCTGCTCAGATTCACAAGAAAATACGACTAATAAACATGACTACTGCAAACAAGGAAATCTCATTACCTGCCAAAACCCTGTTGACAGAGGAATGGGTGGCCAAGCCAGGTTGTCCCCGTTCATGGAAAATCCCAGCATAAGGCAAGTACTCTGGCAGCAAGAAGCGTCTGCAAAACAAAGACAGTAAGCTTACACAGAGAAAGACATCCCAGTGTACTACAGCTCTGGACAGAAACTGCAATTACTTTGAGGAAACATTCCAGCAGACTATAGTAGAGGGAAGGCTAGACTCCTCTGCTTAGCCAACCACTTCACTGCTTCAAACAAAAGACAAGCTACAGATTAGATCCTCCTTTGATCAATGTGGCTGTGAAGATCAGCATTAAGTAAATCCTTTACCTCCCACAATAGCTTCCTAATCTCAAACCAGCACATTGTGCTGGAAATTTCCGATCAGATTCTTTTCTCCTCCTATTCTGCCTTCACACCATAGCCCCAGCCTGCAGGGTAAGAAGCACTGTGACTATGCTGTCCTTCAAATGTCACAGGATCATACTAACTGATCATACTAACATGCCATCTCAGGGGTCCCAGAAATCACAAATCAAGAATACAGCAGCCCTGTGCAAGGAAAGGAATCTGTCTGAGAGTTGTACTGCAACTGACACCTCCAAGACTTCCACACCCTTTGATATGTACAAGCCTTACCTTGGGACAAAGCGCCCCAGCGACGGTGCAGACATGCGGGCATTCCGAGGAGCTCGGTGCCTGGATCGGTCTCCATTGTCCCTTCAGCAAAAGAAAAGAGAAATTAAAAATACATTAAAAATACTATGCAATAAGTATTCTCCAAGAAAAGAAAAACCCAGCTACATCACTTCATCATCCTGAGCATGCCACTGAGATTTAATGGCTCTCTTGTGTAAGTCACATGCTTCTAATGTTCCAAATTCATACAACTCACTGTACCAGAGACTGCTGACAATTTTACACAGGGGTAGCCTAATGTCCAGTTTCTTCGTTGTTTGATCTCAAAAGTATCAATAAAAACACAGACAATCAATGAATCACTGTCAGTGTCTGAATAAATGAATGACAAACCTTAGCATTTGAACTGGGAGAGCAAAAGAAGCACACCCCAGTCCTGATGAGAACTTTTTTAGTCAAAGAGATCTGTTAAGTTTCACTTTTTCATTTCCAATGCAGGCAAAAGAGCATAATCTGCAGACTATTCCTTTGTGCTCCTTCTCTCAAGGTCCAGTTTAAGTGCCATCTGTGTTTAAGATAATCTCATCTTTTGCAAGCTTTTCTAGTGACATCAGAAATGTCAGGTGGTATCAGACAAAACTGTACTTCCTCAAAATACTCTCATTCTGATTCACCACAGATGTCTGGGCCTTTGGAATGAGGGGAAAGGGTCTAGTGTCTATTGTCCTAGAGCAGACGCAGGGAAGTCACCTTCCCAGGAGGGCAGCGCAACAGTGAACAGGTTACCCAGAGAGCCTGTGGAGCTGCCATCCTCAGAAGTCTCAGGACAGGAGCTAGACAAAGCCATGGCTGACCCAATCTGATTTTGACAATAACACCCATACAACAAGCAGAAGGCCAAATTGGAGCACCTCCCGAGTCTCCAGCAAACAGAATTCCTGATATTCCATTCATAGGTCACAAGAGGAGCTGCAATTATACAGCACTAAAACTGCAAGGAAAATAATGAGACTCCATTAGTGATTCTGGAGTTCTAAACAGACCTCTGCAGTGCTTTATTCTCTGTTCAGAAATTCACTCTCTGCATGACCTTGCAGAAGTAGTAAGTCTGTTCTCCCTGGATTCCAGATCCCCATCTGTAACTGCAGTCCTACTTGTCTCCTTCCCAGGCAGTTGTGAGGAGAATATTACTTGCAGAGCCTTGGAATCACTAGGAAATGGAATATTCCTTATGCAACACACTAGCAGCCCATTCCTAACGTGCTCCAGCAAGCTGTGCATTTTACAACTCTTTTTTTTGTTTTGCTTTTTTAAAGTCAGTGAGCAAGAAACGTGGGCTGAGAAGAAAGTCCATTACGTGGCTGTTTCCCACACACTTGAGGAATCAAGAACACAAAAGCAGGGGTTGTTCTGCAAAGCTCGTTAGCATTCCAAGCTACTTCACCTAAACCAGATCTAAATCCAAGCTGAAAGCTTCCATTTCTCCTCCCGCTATGGACACAGCACTTGCAGTTCGCAGGCAAAGCTGTACATCACCCTGAGGTTTCTCTGTAACCTCTGCAGGGTTCCTAAAATCAGCCAAGTAAAAGCTGCTGCTGTTCTTTTATCAGAGGCCTTCAGCCCATTAAGATGCGGATCAATAACAGAAGGAATCTTGCAAACTCCAGTGCTGACATATCAACTTTTCCTGCTAAAGAGAGAAGGCCAAAGAGAAAAGAAGTGTCATGTTCCACATCTTGCCACACAAAGTAAGAGCTAGTGAAATTCAGACAAGAAATGCACTCTTAATTTAAGAGTCCACGTAGCAGTGTTTTTCAGGGTTTGCATTTGCTTTGGACGTTTACTAGAATTACAAGATACTTTTGAAAGGGAAAAATCTCAGCAAGAGGAACCACAGCAGGACTGCGCCCTGCCCAATCTCCAGTTGAAGAGACTCTCTGCAGCAGGGTTCAAAAGGAATGATGAATTAGCTCCAGCAAACAAAAGAAAATAAAGGAGCAAAGTATCCTACAGTACAATCAAGAGACATGAAGCAATTAATTGTTCAAGTTCTTAGAAACACCACTAGCAATGTTTTCAGCATCCACAAGAACATTTTAAGACACAAATTTTCTAAGCAACTAGACTTTCTGGTGCAGGAACTTCAGCCTGTACTGCCCCATTCACTGTGCATACAACCCTCCCCCAGTACAAGAAGCCTAAAAGGGAAAAAACACAGACTTTTCTTCAGTTTTCACCACGTCAGACACAGCCTATACTAATTCAAGAGACAGAAATCTATTTTTAATATCCTCTTTTAAAAACAAAACTTAAATAAACCCCACATTCCAACTGCCACTGCCCTATAACTCAAACAGCAGAATCAGGAATGAGAAACAGTGACTACCCTTTGAGAATTCCTATTTACAGTAATGAAAGTGTAAGCTACTCCTCCTTAGCACAGGGGAGTGTATTACTGAACATTACTCTGAATCACGAATTTACAGTCATTTAGATCTAAACTCTCATGCCCAGCTACATGCAAGAGTGTTTTTAAGGGTCTAGTGCTGAGCAGCCAGAACAGCTGATATTACACTGGTACCAGCTGAAGATTATTTCTGCACCTTCTAAAAAGGAGAGAGCAGTGAAGATGGGTGGCACTTTGTGTTATTTCTGTCCCACACACAGCCTGCTGACAGAGGGAGGAGAGCAGATGTTAGCACAACTGCAGTGCCAGAGTGAAGTGCTCCGGCAATGAGGAGTTCCCAAAGTTCTCCGAAGTACTGGGAAAACCTAAGGCTCCACTTTCTATTTAGCATCAACTACCTCCAGACTCATTAGCTAATGATTTGCAGTGGAGACTTTAATTAACATAACCTCAAAAAGTAGGTCCCTCAGAGTGTGTGAGTGTCTACATAAAAAAAGCCTCTTTTGTAAAGCAACTTGATAACCTTGCAGAGGCAAATGAAACAAAAACGTGCCACAGCAAGTGCTGTAACAGGGCTAAAAAGGTGTCCTGCAATGCTCTTTAAGTACACTGGCAGATATGAACAGCACAGGGGAACATCTGAAGTGAAAAATGTCATAATGAAGGAATGAAGCAATCCACTGAGCAAGATGCAGGGAAAAGAAGCAGAAGTAATCAGCACACAAGGCGAGAAGGGAGATTTAATACTGTAATTATTAACAGACTTACCTGTCTCAAGAGGAAAACTGCAAGAACCAAGAAATGGTCAAAACAACTTAAGGGTCTGGCTCCAAATTCAGGTTATTCATAATTTGCTCAGATACCAGTGTGGGACAAATCAAACAGTGATATGGAGAGTAAGAATTGGTAGGGGAAAACCAGCATTAACGCTGAAGCAGGAAAAGAAAGCAATTCCCAAACACCCAGGAGATTTACAGACATTTAATAGGGCATAAGAAAGATGAAAGTTTAGGATAAGCTGTGCAAGACAGTCAAATCTCCTTGGATTTTTCTGCTTTTGTTTTGTTTGCTTGTTGAGAGAGAAATTGACCAATGTAAATATAATGGAGTAGCAACACCAGGTCTGAAAGCAGAGATGGAGATGCAAAACTTTGCATCCTGAAGTTTGGAAAAAAGGCAGTCTTTTTCATCTGGTGATAGGTTCAAACTTGAACAGGGATAGGTTAGGTAAAACCAATACGTTCTTCCCTGTGAGGGTGCTGAGGTGCTGGCACAGGGTGCCCAGAGAAGCTGTGGCTGCCCCATCCCTGGCAGTGTTCAAGGCCACGTTGGACACAGGGGCTTGGAGCAACCTGCTCTAGTGGAAGGTGTCCCTGCCCGTGGCAGGGGGGTGGGACTGGATGAGCTTTAAGCTCCCTTCCAATCCAAACCATTCTATGATTAATAATTGAGTGGATACAGAAGATAGCCAAGACTATCAGAAAAGGAAAAGCACTGTGTTCTGCTTTTCTATCTTGGCAAGAATTCTCCTTAATATTTAGAGATTGTTGTATCAGGAAGTGAAATTAAACACACAGCATGGGATTTCTAATGCAATCTGTTGGTCTAACTGTTCCCATTGTAGTCAATATTAAAACTCTCACTGACTACACTGCCAAGAGAATTAGGTCAACAATGACCATTTTGAAAAGCCATTTAATTAATAGAGCCAACATCAATGAGCCAGGCAAGTTCATAAGAATCAAATTATACCAGACCGAGCCAATTGTTCCATATTTTCAGCATTTTATCCTGTTTCATGAGATCCAATTTAAAACACTAAATCAATTTCTACTGCAGAGGTTGGACACTTACTTACAGTAGAAATGCTAAATAATTGGTAATGTGGCATCTACTAACACCCTTAAGGATTTGCACTGGATTCAGTTGCACCATCTTGATGTAATACAAAAAACCCCGAAACAATAGCATTTTCTCATTGCTTCAAACTTTAAGCATCTCCACTTACTTGCTATCAATTTTTAAGACTGCAGGAGGTTACTTCAGAGGAGACAGCACAGAGGGCAGGAGTAGCACAAAGCAAGAAGGGCAGGAGTAGCATAAAGATCATATAAGAGCTCCGAAGAAGTTACAAGAAAATACAAACTTATTTGGGTTTAGAGGTCGGTCAAATCAGACCCCAGGTCCTCTAAAAGAGGGTACCTGGAGGTTGTCTTATTACACTGGCCATGCTAAAAAGGAAGCAGATCCTGAAAGCTTGCAACTTACTTGACAAGATTCATTGCTGATGTAGATGAAAACAGATGACATACATCCTGAGAAGGATGTGCTCACAAGAGCTGCATAGAACTACAAGACAAAGTGTGTGCTATGTTTTACCAAGCATATAAAAGTAGGAAAAGGGAGAGGGTGGAACATTACGTTTGCTGGTGATTCCAAGAAAATGTCAATCACTTCCCAGCAACATCATGATGGGTAAGGGATATACAGTGCTGGGAACACCATGATAGAAAGTCAGCTACTAGCTTACAACTGAGAGGAGAAGCAAACAACAGAATATGTTAAAACTTTAGCTCCTCCTCTGTCTGATCCTGCAAGATCCTGAATATCTCCTCCAAATGAAGCTAGGGAAAACTGGGAGTGTTTCTAGGAAATAAGCCTCTCAAAATAGAGG